GCTTTGTCCCCAGCATGCAGCACCATGTCTGGCACATAGTAAGTGCAAACAAACAGTCAGTGTGTGGCATCAATATTCATGGAGGACCTGGCAGGCGCCAAGGGTTATACACTTTTTATCCTAGTCAATCCTCTCCATAATCCTATGAAGTCAGTATTATTGTCCCTGGTTTATAGATATGAATATTGCTTCAAAATGACCTAAAGATGGCCTAGCAAAAGAGGTAAGTGAATAGGAAAAACCATGTTCCTAATCATCTAGTGTCATCTCATTTAAAATAAAATGAAAAGTGAGATGGCTGTAAGTTTGCGTGAAAGAAGGGGTGTATATGTTTTCCAGATATGTACTCTGCTTAGTGACTGACTTAAACACCTAAGAGCACTTTAAAGCTGTTTATCACTGAGCACGATGCTCTTTGGTGATCTGCATTCTGGGAATCACAAAACATCAGGACTGTAAAAGGAAAAAAATCGATGAGAGGTAGGCTGATAATTTAAAAATGGAAATAAAAAGCAACAGTAGTACCTACCACTACCAGCCATCAAGAGCAAGGTGTCAGTCACTGAATACTTTTCAACTAAATCGAGAAAAAATGGATTACCTTTTATATCTATTTAAAATGTTTCGGCTGATCTCCGGGGGCTTAAAGAAGGGATCTGCTTGTTCAATGTACCTCAAACCCGTAAGCAAATGGGACTCAGACTGCACCACACATTAACAGTCGAAGACAAACTTTGTTTTTAAGAAGAGCAGCGCACAATGTAATGCAAATATGTCTCTCTCTCTCTCTCTCTCTCTCTCTCTCTCTCTCTCTCTCTCTGTCTCGCACACGCACACACGTGCGCACACACGCGCGCGCACACACACAAGCCAGACAATGTTAAGCTCCAGCAAAACATTTTCCCAGTGACGAGATGCACTGTAAAAATCACTGCTTGTGATTCTCCCGAAGGCTGAAAACACTCTCCTCCCTGCTGCCCGCAGCCCTCACCATTTTATCCTTTTCCAATCCCAATAATTCCTACCACTCCTGCCAATTTACTCACTTCTTGACGTTTTGTTTCAATATATTCAAAGAAAAGGGAGAATAGAGCAGGATAGAAAAAAAGAGGGAGAGTAAAAGTGTGGGTGTGCACAGGAATGATAGAATTTGGAAGTCACCCCAAAACTTTTAAAACAAAATATGAACTCTAGGACAGGAGATGGCTGTTGTTTTTTACTGGGTAGACCTTCGAGAGAACCAGGAATAGGTGCTACATAAATAAGAGACATGTATGGAGGCACTTATTTGTTCATTTGGACAACAGAGATTGACCGATGCCTCCTATGGTAAGGTGCTGTGCTAAAAACGTGGATGTTAGAGAAAGTAAGACATCAGGGTCACTTTGCACAATAGGTAGGATAGGAAATTACAATTCTTCGTATGGTAAATTTTATTTTAAAACCTAAACTCCTTAGCTAAGTGAATTCAAGGAATTAACAAATATTTATTCAGTTTTATTGATTATTTTCCTCTTGAAATGTTCTTTGCTAAGCTTCATGGCATTATGCTCTCCTGAAGTTATTTTCTTTATGTCTTATGCTCCTTTGCAGGATTTTCATCCTTAGCCTGTTATTTAAGTGTTTGTGTTCCCTAGGGTTCTGGCTTAAGTTTTCATCTCTTTAGTCTGCATATTCCCCTGGGAGTTCTTATCGATCCTATGATGTCTAGTATCATCTGTGTGAGATGGAGACCAGATCTAAAGACACCAAATTCTGAATGTCCTGTTCAAACTCCTGCTGAGATCATATGTGAACCCCCTCCTGACATTGCCACCTCGACGTTTCAAGGCACCTAAACTCTAAATATCATCAATTGAATTAATTTTCCCTTATCTCACTAACACTACCATCCGTGAGGTTGTCCAATCAAGGGACCTAAGAGTCATTCTTAGCTCCTTCCTTTTTAATTCCTAACACCCAATTTAAAAATTCCATGGATTTTTATATCCTAAGACATATTAAGAAACCACCCGCGCCTCTTCTGCTCTGTTACTCCCCAGTCCAAGTCGCTAGCATCTGGCCAACATTCGCACAGATATCTGCTTAGCTGGTCTCCCTGTATTTAATCTTGCCTGCGCCCAATGATTTTACAGCCAGTTATATGTTAAAGATGCAAATTTGATCATATTGTCCTCCCGTTTCAAACCCTTTACCATGTTCCCATATACAAAAGGTTAGAATCCTAACTCCTCCAGGAAGTCCTGTTACCTTCCAAACTCCTGTCTCGCCTCTCCTGGCTCTCTGGGTCACTCATTCCACCATACGAAACTTTTTCAGCTCCTTAAACATGACACCAATGCTCTCTGATACCTCAGGCCTTCCCATATCCTTCCAATTTCCCCAAATTTTCTGATCTTTATTCCAAACTTACCAACGTGAACTCCTGGCTCTCATTTAAATATCGACTTTCTTGGGGATTCTATTGCCACTGTACCCCAGCTCTCCATTCCCACCTTCAAGCCCCCATGTTTCTACCATTATCTCCACCAAACAAAGGCAGATGTTCATGTTATATGTTCTCACAGGGACTTATACATCCCCTCTAGTAGCAATTTTTAAAAATATTTTATTATACACATCTATTTAATGCTTGTTTCCACTAACTCTGGTGTAGAGGGCAGGAAGCTATTCAGTCCACGCAGCTTGCCTTTGCATCCCCAGCACCGAGGCCGGTGCCCTGCACCGAGAAGTGGTGCTCAATAATTATCTGTTCAATGAGTACATGGAGTACCTGTTAGTTACAGGAAACCAGGAAAGGTTTAGAGATAAATAAACACCCACGACCCTGAAGGAGGATAACATGAAATGCAGAATGTCTGTTATACATGATTAGAGGATGATAATGAGGAAATAAAATCGACTCCAACTGGATACATGGGGATTTGCTAACACTGCAAATTGGAATGAAATATTTAGCTCTCCCTTCTGGGATAATCTAATCCAACACTAAACCCTTCTGGAAGGCCGTTTTGGGATTTTATATTACAGATGAGAAAATAGGCACCACAAAGTTAATTGAGTTACTCAAGGTTACCCAATGAATGGGAGACAGAGACAGGACTTAAAATTCAAAGCTGTCAAACTCTAGTCCTAAGTGCTATCACAAAACACAAAAAACAAACAAAAAAACTACTTTGTCTTTTTCCTCCCCAAAGTTCTATGGTGTGATTACAGGAATTCAACCTACATACTTCAATAGTCTTCTCAAAACTATCACCGGTGATATTTATGTTTGAATACAGAAACTCAGTAACGCAGGCACTTTTTGAGACATTTTGCTCTAGTCTTTGAAATGAAAGGTGTTCTGTGATGTGTCCCTACACTTTTGTGCACTCTGAGAGGTGTCAGTTCCTTCTTTGTTCTGAATAGAATATCAGTATTAGGCACGAGTTGCCACTACAAAGTGCCAATATTGAGCTCTTCTGTGTGGGACATCATATTTGGATGGATACCCTACCTTGATAAATGCACATGGTTGGCTGGTGCAGTTCATTGCACTCGATAGACATTTTGGTAGAAAATGCTGCCAGTGTTTAATAAATATTTGAGGAGCAACATAGGCTATTAAATTTAACAGGATTCCTGGTTCCAACATTCATATTGTGACAGAAATAAACTCAAAAACGTTTGGGCTGCCATTTCAAAAGTCCAGATGTGTACCATGTACTCAATAAATATGTTTATATGTGATATTCTGGGGCCTATGACAAACATGATGCATAACCAGAACGCCTCAGAAAACCTTTATTACCTTCTCTATACACTCATTTAGTGTACATAGAAGCTTTGCTTTTTATAACAACAAGCACTGCTGATAATAATTTCTCAGAGGTATAGAGGGCGAGTGTGCACTTGAGGTTTTTTCTAGCTCCAGACTGGACCACCAAGGGCTCTTTCTTTTTATACCTGAATATAGCTCAAGATGTTAAAGAATTTAATCTGTACAAAATTGTGGCTAACCCATGCCACTTTTGTTAGATATATGGAACTATAGACTCTTCTTGATCATTTTCATGTAAATTATATAATTTCCTTTTATCAGACACAGCATCAAAGAGAAGAATCCCCAATTATAGAGCATTTCCCTGGCTCTTTGGGCCTTGCGTATCCCATCCTTCATTCACCAGGAGCAAACATCTTTAACCCAAAAGCACTCAATCCAGCTCATTGTGTCAGTATCCAGCCCCGCCTTGCATCTCCAGGCCCAAGGAGAACTCTGAATGTCCAAAGTATTTACTGTTCTTAATCCAAAATGTTGCATTAAGCGAATTGGTTCTGTCATGTAAGTATAACTGATTATGTCTCCCCTAATAAAGATAGACATTTGAGTTTCCCATTTGTGAGTTAGCCCAACGTGAAAGAAAGAGGGCCTGTCAGATGCCAAGCTAACATCAATTGTTCATGCCATGGAAATGTCAATTAAAATCCTAGCGCAACCTTTCAAACACAATTTTCCAATCCAGGAAATGTGTACAAATCCATAGTGAATGGAGAGGCATACAAGGTAAGTCTTAAGGTCTATGAGTGTGTTAATATTCTTGTTGGTCACTGGCAAATGACATTCATGGGGTCAGAATACTTTTGACTTTCACTTGAATATGTACGTTCCATGAATTCATCCTCATTCCTCAGCTCTGTTTTGGGGGAAATGACTTTGCAAAGATGTTGATTTCATTTCTTAATGCTGCAGTTCCTCTTAAGTTATACCAAGGAATAAAGGGTTCCTTTCAAGAGCAGCACGAAAGCTGAGTGAGCTTCCTGCTTTAGGAGATTATAAATGCTCTCAAACACTTCTAAAAGGAAGGGAATTCTAACTTGGGCTTTAAAGTTCTGATTTTAAAAAAATTCTTTTTTTACTCCGTTTGTTATCACTATGTGACAATATTAAAGGCTAACAGTGCAAAAAACCAAATGTTTTTATCCCCAGGACACCTGCCCTATTGGAGAATTTACTTTACCTGCAGAGATTCCATTTCTTCATCTTTTCTGTGTGTCTCCTCCAGCAGATCTACAATGAGAAAGTAAAATACCCATCAAATTCCAGTGTAAAAATGGGTTACCTCTTATTATCAAACACAGTTCAGCCAGTAGCTTATATAAGCTGTTACCTTGAAAAAGAATTTAATGTTTAAGTGTGAGAAACCATGTAAAAGAAATGCCCTCACATCCCAGCCGATGAGCTGTGGCAGGGCTCTGGGCCCTGCCAGGCCTACGCTAGCTGAGAAGCCTTGGGAGGGCCCAGCTCTGGTGCAGATACCCGAGAATGAGACCAACTCAATTACAGATCCAAAATCACACCCGCATTTTAGACATTTGGTCCAGTGCTTATATAACTCAAAAGGAACACAAAATTTTCTTTAAAAATAACCTTTTTTTTTCTTTTGAAAGAAAAATTAGAAACAAACCATTTGCTCTTAAAATAAACTGCCAAGCCAAGTTCCACTTCCAGAGTCAATTTTTATAAGCAAATTAAAACACCCTGGAATAATGGGTGTTATTAATGGAAGTAGAACACCACCTTCATTGTAAAGTCATATTAATTATCATTTCACACCGAAAGGGTGGGAAGCATTGAAGCTACATCTGACCAAGAGTTTGGCACAATCTCAGAGAAATCAGTAGCTGGAAGGGAAGGCAGGCAACTGAAGCGAGTTCTGTCTAAATGCGTGCATATAGTCATGGTGCCTCAGTGCCCTACGTTAATTTATGAACTTGCTGTAAATATATATATATATTTGGCAGGACGAATGTTCTGCCTGCAGCTATACCACCCTGTGCTATGATCTTATTAGACCTCACAAACCTAAAGAGGGCTGGGCTGAGTCAGAACTTGGATGAAAACTGGCAATAAACACCTACAGCAGTGCGCATTAATATTAGCATTTATTGGCCTTACTCTATGATTGATACAGCTTACCAAGGAGCTGGGCTGCATAAGAGGAAAATGTAACTTACAGAAATTCAATATATATCCTCGAAAGGCAAATGCAAATGTTTTTAGCAAGTGCAAAACTAGATGCCGCAGGAAGCAGTAATACAGTGGGGAACCAAGTCACATTGGTACGTATTGTAACTGGGTGGGCAATGTGCTGAAACGTCAGGAGACCATTAGATGATCTAATTGATGGTGATGGCCCTTTGAGGCTGCATAGCTAAGAGAGATACAGTCCAGTGGCAAGCAGTCCTCTCAAGACACAACGCACTGGGATGAACGACAAGAGGCAGTTTTTGTTCTGTTTCCCAGAGCGGAACTGACATTGGCCGCCCCCCGCCAACATCCCATAATCAGAGTTACATCAATAAAGTTACAGGAGCAAGGCAATGTATTAAGGTGTATTTTTAAAGGGGTTTTTGGTTGGCACATCAGGTTCTTTAGCTATTTGGTGCAGGAACCAACTCAGTGCCCTCGATCATTCTTCTTGCATCCTTACTCATTTGCACTGTGACACTGTTGCTACTTCCAAGCACCTACTTTCCAGAGCTTGCATCTAGGCTGGCTTCCTGACTTGAGTTGGTAGATTGAATACAGCAGAAGTAGCTTTGGGCCAACCTGCTTGAGAGTTCAAGAGACTTCACACATTTTCACTTCTCCACCTGGAACTCTGCCACTGCCACATGAACAAGCCCAGGCTGGCCTGCTAGATGACAAGAGACACGTGGTCCAAGACTCTTCTCATCCCTGACACCTTGCAAGCTGCCTCAACTGGCAGCCAGCAAATGCCCAGCTGACCTGAAGATGACTACAGATGACACAGGTGGGAGCCCAGTGCCAATTCCAATTCATAGAACTGTGACCTAAATAAATGGAATTTGGGGATGGTTTGGTACCCAGCAATTGCTAAGTGATAGCAACCAGAATACAGAATTGATCAGAAAGCTACAGAAGTCACTATTAGAGATGTGGGAACAAAGAATCCAGACTCTGGAGAGAATCAGAACTGGTCTGGGTGGGTGGGGATGTAGGAGCAGGAACTAAAGGGCATTCTTATCCTGGTGCCTCTAATCTCTGTGTCACCCACTCAAGATAACATTCCATAAAGAGAAGGGCTGATGAGCTTAGCTTAGCAGTTCTGCCTACTGTTTGGCTAGGGGAAAGCACAGAGTGCTTTTACTGATTATCCCCACAGGATTGGAAGAACAGATAGTTTTCAAATGCAAAAACAGAAGAAGGAAGGGTGGATACCGGACCAGCCAACATAACAGATGTCTACTCTAACTGGTTTCAGTCAGTTATGTCTTCAGCACAACACTCTTCAATATTTGTGAGATATAAGATCACTGTTATGTCCCTAGATGGATGTAGCCATTTTTTTTTCCTACACAATTTATGGATATTAGGAAGTTCTCAGAGCTGGGACCCTTGTAACGAATTGCATTGTTTAATGGTGGAGTGGAGCGGGGGTGATGGTCAGTGGGGTCCATCAGCCATTAAAGGAAACTGATCTTGTTCCTCAGAGTCAACCTGTGTGGCAGGCATCAAGTCCTTCGCTAAAGCTCACTGGACAAAGTTAACGGGTATGGGATACATCTTGGATTTGGATTTATCTTATACAGCCAAGCTCAACTCACACATCTGATACAATACAGGCATAAAGTGCAGTCGACCTTCAGAACTTCATAGAATGATTGCCATTGAAAAATTATGTTCTCAGTTATGGCCAAATATTATGGCCAAATAAATAAAGGCCACGCTGCTCTTCCAACAAAGCTGATACCACTGAACAAAGACGACTACACAAGAATTCTTCAAATTGTCATTTAAAATATTGAATGACCCTTCTGTTCTCCCCCACAGGCCTGTATTCCAGCTTATATCAAGAGTAGAAGTGGACATCAGTTGTCATTTTTTTTCTCCATGCCACATCCCTTCCCTGTGAGAACTTCCTCCTCTTCACGTGATTTCTGTGAAATGTTCAATCAAGGGCCTAACTGACCTCTTCGGCCACAAAAGTGGGTAAGCCGGAGCACCCAGCCTCCCAGGGCATATACATAAGCGAGGCCAGCAGGAATCCTTTCTCAGAGACTGATATGGATACTGGGAGAGAATCTCTCTCCTTCTGAAGCAGAAAGCTTATATTAGCTTCATGCTCCAAAAGCTGCGTTTCCTACCATGTACAAGGAACCTGGACAATAATGAAGCTGCCGAAGAAGAACGCGGAGCTCAGAGACAGACAGGGAGGCGGCAGAGGACAAGAGCACCCTGCCTGAAGCACACGCAACTCCTGGACTTGGGACACTTTTTTTTCCCCTTTTCCCTAAATTAGTTCTAGTTAGATTGCTGTCATTTACAAAAGTCTCTGGGGATGTGGTTGGATTGAACCTTCTATCTGTATTCAGAAACTTGGAGAACTTAGAGTTAGCAAGAGTTTCCTATCCTACAGTGAAACATTTCCTTCTACGATAAATAGATGAAGACGTGAGGTTCAAGGAAGGCAGGTGGTTTTCCTCAGTTTACCTGGTTAGTGCTGGAGCCACAGCTCGAGCTCCGCTCTCCTGCCTTCCTGCCCCGTCTATCATATCATGTTCTCACTTGTACAACTCAGTGTTTAATTGTGCCCTTTCCATACAGTTATTTTTTTTAATTAAAGTTTATCGGGGTGACAACTGTTAGCAAAATTACATAGATTTCACGTGTGCAATTCTGTAATACATCATCTGTATATCACATTGTGTGTTCACCACCCAGAGTCGGTTCTTCTTCCATCACCATATATTTGATCCCTTTTACCCTCATCTACCACCCCCCTCCTCCCTTACCCTCTGGTAACCTCTAAACTATTGCTTATGTCTATAAGTTCTTGTTTGTTTGTCTTGTTCCTTTGTTATTTTCAGTTTTATATCCCACATATCAGTGAAATCATATGGTGCTCTACTTTCTCTGACTTATTTCGCTTAGCATAGTAATCTCAAGATCCATACATGTTGTTGCAAATGGCAGTATTTCATCTTTTTTATGGCATGATAGTATTCCATTGTGTATATATACCACATCTTCTTTATCTAATCAACATCACTAATCATGAGAGAAATGCAAATAAAAACCACAATGAAATATCACCTCATTGCTGTTATTTTTAAAAAATACATGTTTGTATTCCTCTCACTTCGTTTAGGAGCTCTCTGATGGCAATAACCAGAGATTCAAGGTCTTTATATCCATACCCTCCTTAATTACTGCTTCTTTACCTTTGCTACTTAACTTACATCCCCCAAATTGCCTTCTCTGCTTATATCACTGCTCTGTGCAATTGCTCACTTGTTAGGTGCTTTGTTCGAGTACATGTGTTTGGAATGATGAACAGAGTCATTAACCTGTGCTGATGAAATATGGTTACTGGGCATCGCTGAGAAGCAACTACTCTACTGCAAACAGACGCAAGATGAGGGAATAGAGATGAAACCTCTGGGCAGTTGGAGTGACAAAAATGCTTTGACAACTGAGTGTGATTAGGGCACCTCATTATAATGAGCAATTTTGTTGTTTGTTCTTACCAGCTTTGGAACAAATGCACAGCATGGAAAAGGCTAAAGGGCTGCTCTGCTCCCCGGCTCACCACTGGCATGTTCGTGTTTTGCTTTATTATTCTCTGGTTTGCTGTTCAATACAAACAGCAATTCAACGGCCATGCAAATTGCTGTGGCTAAATGTGCTTCCATCAACATCAGTTAATGAAACATTTTTTTGGTGAAAAGGGCAGCAGTCCTGTATATTTTCCTTGGATGGCCTCCAACTCTTTAAATGGAGCTGATACTAACTCATTAGGACATATAATCATTGGGGGGTGGGGGGGAATCCCATTTTTAAAAGGACACCATGGGTGAGAACTGGAGAATCCATTTGTTTTGTTTTGTTTTGTTTCCACTTTGCATTTCTCTGGAACTCAGGATAATATATCATGATCATGTTTTTGGCTAAGACGGTCTTGTACCACTTCCTCTGCAGTCTTTGCAGCTAGTGGTCTGGCTGTTTAAAGGACGTATGACACTGTTTAATGTTGATTCTGGTTC